CCAACCCCCTCTTGGAAACTCTTAGTGTTACCCTTCAGGCTGTTTAGGTCAGGAATAGGAAAGGAGGGAGCTGATGATTGACAAATTATCTCACTCATAGTAACCCTGCGAGGATGGTAATAAGATTCCCATTTGACAGAGGAAGAAACTGAGCTATAGGGATTACACAGCCAATAGGGAACAAAGGATAAGGTTCCTGGGGAGGGAGTGAATAATTCTCTCCCATAGAAGTGACTGTTGAACTCCTTCATTGAAGGACAGTCAGTGTTGCCAAATTGGAAAAAGGAGAAGTGTCCTAGGAAGCAGAGGCAAAAGAATGGAGTGTGGAAGGTCTGGGCTATGAAAGGGTGCAAAATTTGGATATGTGCCCTCATGGTCCTTTGGTTCAGAGTAAATCCACCATAACAGGGAAGGCAGACTTTCTCTTTCCTCTTCCTCTTCCTTGAGCCACTTCCTAGGTGCCCTGAGGATGGTAATGGTACAAAAGTGTCTGCCCTCCTTCCTTTGGTTCCCTGGCCACTCTGACCCAGGCACACAGTTGGGGAGGTCATACTATGGCCACTAGCTGATAAATCTCTGAAGATGTACAGTGTGCCATAGGGTATTTTGGGAAGGTAGAAGAGGTAAGCATTAAGGATGGCTTCCCTGAGAAGGAAGTATAATATATAGGACACAGAGGAACATTTCTCCTCCCTTCACTCCAGGGTTCCTTACTGGAACTGAGTGCCACATGTTATGTCATTGTCTCCTTATTCTCATGAGAGACAGAGAGAGAGAGAGAGTCATCCTCACTCCCATTCTGCCCCATGGGAAACGGGTTCAAGGAGGAGTGACTTTCCCAAGGTCACACAGCTGGAGCTGAGCTCAGGCATCACTTCTCCCTCCCTTTAGCTCCCCCTCCTCCCAGACAGCCCAGCACCCGTTGTCAGCTGCTCTGAAGTGAGTGGCTATTTTTACTCTGGTGCGAGGGGATCTTGGGCAGCAGAGCCATGTAGGTTAGAAGGCTCTAGGACACTGGTCTCAGAAGGAAAGAGGAGGCTTCCTGCAAAAATATAAGCTTGCTTGGGGGCTGTTTTTTTCCTGCAAGCTGATCTGCCCCTCGCGCCCATGCATCCAGAAATTGCTTTTCTAGATTTCAAAACAGTGCATAGAGTCAAACTAAACCCTGGCCCTGATCCCAGATCCAATTTGAGCCCTAAATTTGGTGTTAACAGTCTTGATCCCATGCCACAACTAAACCTAACCCTACCCTGACCAAAGTCATAGACTGAACCCCGACTCTACTCACGTACTGAGCCTGATCTGAGTCCAAGGCTGATGCATCCCCTAAGGCTGATCCCAACTTGAGACCTTGATTCTAGATCCAGATTGAGCCCTGATCCTCACCTAAGACTGAGCCATAGTCACAGACTGAATTCTAATCCTAGTCCAGACTTACCCATGATTTAAGACTGAGCCCCAACCTCCGGTCTAGACTGAACTCTGAGTCTAGTCATTAACTAAACCCTGAACCTGGTGGCATATTGAGCTATGGTCTTGGTCACAGACTGAGCGCTGAGCCAAATCATTGATTGAATCCTGACCTCAAAATGAGCTCTGACCCAAAGTAATACAATTTTGGTTGCACACTGAGCCTGGCTTCATTTTATGCATGGAATTTGGTCAAAGGCTGAGCCCTGAGTATAGTCATAGACTGAGCATTGATCTTAGTCACAGACTGAGATCCAAGCCCAGTTATTGACTGAGTCCTGCCCCAGATTCAGTTCTAAACTTGGCTTTAAACTAAGGGCTGCCTCAGACCGTGAGCCTGACCCCATCACAGACTAAAGCCCAAACCCAGACCCATTTGAGGAAGGCTGCTAGCCTAGATTACAAAATGCCACATAAGAGCATGGATTACAAGCAGAAATCTGTTCTGGGAGATCCTGGGCCTCCCATGGGTACTGATGCCAGAGTGTTCCTGGTATTGTTATGGCCAGTGTCTCTACCATTGGTTCCACTGGCTGGCTAGTCAACCCTCAGCAGCCCAGGCTGTGGCCCTTCTAGGCCACAGCATCTAGGTTAATGCAATGAGAGTGGTTTGGTGGCATGTGTCCAGTGAACAATGTGGGCCCATGAGGCACTGAGGTTTGGCTCTGTCAGCAGAAAAGCCACAGGCTTCATAGGGCCACGAGCGTCAGCCACTCAGAGCCACTCTGAGGCTCTTGCTAAGGTATGGGGTAAGGTTGGGGGAACCCATGGCATTTGTCCCATTATTTTGTAAATAATGTTTATGGTTTATATTTTGGTGATACGTATTTATTATGGAAAATACACAAAAAATATAAAGGAGAAAAAATTAACCCTATAATTTCATCTACCAAGAGATGACCATTTTGGCTTCTTGGCTTGATTCCTCCTAGATTTTGTTATTTGGTATATGTATCTTTATATATATATTTTATAAAATTGGTAGGCTACTCTGTTGATGCTACAACATCCATTGGAGCCCCATAGCCTTGATAGGCTTCTGGAATGGGTCTCAACTGGTTAAGCCAATGAGCAATTTCCATTCCCCTAGCCACATGATTGGATCATGTATGGACAAGTGAGATATAAGGAGACTTTTTCTAAGGGCTATTGGGAAAGAAAGCTTGCTTTCTCTCCTAAGAAGTTTACCAAAAAAGATCATCTTCCCTTGATTAAATACAAATAAAGAAGTCTGTGGTCCTGTTGGCAGCCATCTTGACATCATGCAGGTAACTGGCCTAACGACAAACTGACACTATGGAAAGCAGAATGGGGAGAGATCAGGTCTTGGTGACTTTGTTAACAGAATCAAACTTCACCTGAAGCCCTCCCTGCCATTGAACTTTTTTGTTATTTGAGACTTCCTTTATTTTTTAAGTCAGTTTAACTTGGGATTTCTATGACTTGCAGCCCGAAGCATCACAACTCCCAAATGATATTACTCTTTTATAGCTTAACTTTTATACCATAACTATGAACATTATCCATGTCATTCAACACTATGCAGCATCATTTAAAACAACGGCATGATTTTCTATCCTTTGGATATCCTTAACTCATTCCCTGATGTGACATGCTTAGGTTGTGTCTCCAGTTTTTCACTATTATAAGCAGTGGGTTTTTTAAAAATGATATATATATTTTTTAATATTTTTATTTTATTTTTAAGTAGGCTCCACAGCCAATGTGGGGCTTGAACTCATGACCCCAAGATCAAGAGTTGCATGTTCTAGGGACTGAACCAGCTGGGCACCCCCGTTGTTTTGTTTTGCTTTGTTTTTTAATACACAAAGAGATTTATTGCAAAAAATTGGCTTATATAACTGTAGAGGTGGGTAAGGCACATCTGAGATCTGTAGGACAGACCAGTAGTCTGGAAACTTCTGGGCAGGAGGGGCTGCTGCAGTCCAGGGGTGGAATTTTCTCTTCCTCAGGGAAACTCCAGTTTTGCTTTTTCTTCCATAAATCCATGCCTCAAAACCCAAAAGCCAGAAGGTACAGGGAGTCCAGTACCCATTTACACTCAGCAGCTCCTCCCAAAGGCACTGCTGCCCATGCCTTGGGCACCAGAATTTGAGCCAGAGCACAGACCCCAAAGTCCACGGCTGAGTAAAACAATGTTTTGATAACCTAACAATTGGTCCCTTCTCTGATGATTATTTTGAGTCAAATTCTGACAAATGGAATGACTGGATAGAATAAATGTTTTTAGGGGTTTGATTTATTGAGTCAAATTGCCCCTTGGAAAACTTGGATGAATTCACATTTCCACAGCAGTAAACAGAGTGTTAGACAAAGCTTATCATGTCAATAGCTGGACAAAACCAATTAAATTTACAGTGCCCTAATGTATTTACAAAGAATGGGTAGTAAATAACAACTTTAATCCCATTATTATTATATCTTTACAATCAAGTCAATGAATGTGAGATAGCAGAGTATAAGCAAAGAAACCTGACTTCATCTATTAGGCTCAGTGTCTAGGGCCCATGATACTTTCAGAGGTTATGCATATGTTTTAATTTTCATTTCTTTTAAAATTGAAAGAAAAAATAAACATATAATAATGAATCCAGTCAGGATTGTATTCATTTTTTTTAAAAATCAAAGCAGTTTTAAAATGCAATATTATATATATATATATATATATTTTTTTTTTTTTTAATGGAGGAAAAGGCCCAGAAAGGCAGAAATGCCTAAGAGTCTATGAAAATCTCACTTACTCTTACTCAGCTTTGGCTTGATGTTGAGAAGGATTCTGATTCCCAGTCTAGATTCAACAAGAAAGAGCACTGTGAGTAATTTGCTGTGTCTGCCTCAGGCTTAAAGAGGGGAGATAGTGTCCTTATTTATCCAGTCATTTTTGGTTTGATGAGATGACTACAGCGATGTTTCAGGTTCAAATCCCAGATCCACAACCTCATTGTTCTACTTTTCTGAGCCTGTCTCTCAACTTGCAAAACGGAGTAAACAGGACCTTTATAAGGTAAGAAATGAAATACTGAAAGCTAACACTGTTCCAGGTACTGTTCTAAAGAGCTTTATGTGTATTAACCTCTTATCCTCCCAAACCCTACAAAGTACATAATTCCGCCATCATATGTACTCCATGGATTTGAAACCCAGATCGGAATTTCATCCAAAGCAATAAAAGATACAAACAAGAATTCCTCAAGCCTTAGTTTCCCCTATCTTCGAGACGAGTGGCTGACCCAGAAACTCCCTTGTCCGTCTGCATCCCTCCCGCGCCCCCTGCCGGCGTAAGGGAGCACTGTCTGGCCGCATCCTGCCGTAGCTTCTAGGCTCTCTCGGTAGGCGGAGGGAGTGTGGGCACTCTCGGCGCTGGAATAATAAAAGGCCTAAGGGCCAGAGAAGATTTCGGACCAGAAAAGATCCCCAGCTTCGCTGGGAGAGAGCTGGAGGCCCTTGCGCCGTCCCTGGGAGGAGACTGACAACTAGGGGCGTGGTCCCTAGCGGGGTGGGGCCTTGTGCGGGGGCGGGGCCATCCGGTGGACCCAGACGTGGCGCAGTTCCTCTGGGGTTCGCCTCCTGTTTTGTGGATCATCTTCGGCCCGGTTCCGATGCACCTCCTGCTTCCTCCACCGCCCCTGCTGCTGCTTCTCGCGGCACTTGGGGCTGCCGTCACCACCTTCCGGCCAGACTGGAACCGCTTGCACGGCCTGGCCCGAGCCCGGGTAGAGGTGAGTGCGCTGGTCCCTAGCTCAGGGACCGCTGCCCCCAACCCTTTGGCCCTTAATTTAGCTTTGGAATCACCGCTCACTTTGACCCCAGAATCCTCCCGACTCCCAAGTTCCACTCAGGGCCGGGACCATCCCACCCTCTCCCCAGCCTCAGGACGCCCCAGCACCCACTGTGGTAGCCCGATCTTGCCGCCTGGGAATACGAACTCCTCCCCAGTTTCCTATCCGTCTGGACAGCGGGGCCCCAGACACACTGGCCCCGTCTCCTAACTCTACTCCGGGCCTATGACTCTTCTAAACCTGCCCTCTGGAGCCAACTTTACATCCTCCTATCATTCCACTTTTTTTTCCCTGGAATTCCTCTCCCACCCCAGTTCCGGTTTCTCTCTCCCTGGCCTGAGGGAGGGAAGACTTCGCGATTGCCCCACCACGCAGAAGCCAACTGCATTTACTAGCACTTACTCAGCAGCAGTCCCTCATCCTCCTCTGTGAGGAAATTACTGCTAAAGTCCCTGTTTTGTGTGTGACTTGAATCATCACAAATCCTCTCTGGGCCTTAGTTTCCTGTCGGACAAAAGGGGGGTGGAGGAGGAAGGAAGACTAGAATGGGTGTTCCTGGGGTCTCAACTCCTGCTGGGAGGTGGCACTCCTTCTCTGGGAGTGCTGGGGTGGGGGGAACACCATGCTTCCCATGTTGGGGAAGCAACCAAATGGAGGGGCAGTTCTGCATGGGGTTAGATAGGGACCAGATGACAGGTATCTCTAATGGGGTCTTCCAGGGCAATTCTGAGCTGTTTCCTTCTGGTCTGCCTCCACCCTAAGGGGCCAAAGACCAGGCCCAGGTCTCTACTGCCTGAAAGAAGTAATCCTTTCTTTTGGGCATTGATTAGGAGTGAGTCAACAGTCAGTAAGGTGTGCAGGCAAGAGCACCAAGGCTGGTAAGTGGCCCTATGGGTCTCTGGCCCTACTCCTCTGTCTCCTGATGTCCATAAGCCTCAGTTTTCCCATCTGTACAGAGTTCCCCCTTTTGCCCATAAGGAACCTCCATCTCCATAACTTGGGAGCTGCTGTTCCAGGGGTAATCCACAGCTCCACCCAACTCTTGGATGAGGGTAAAATGGTCTTGAGGGTGTGCTTGGGGCAGATGTGAAGGACTCCTGACCTATCCCTATTTGTCTCCCTACAGACCTGTGGGGGATGACAGCTGAATCGCCTGAAGGAGGTAAGTTTGAAGGAAGGGGTCTCCAACTCTGTTCACACTGAACTTGAGGGATGGGTAACATCCCAAAGATTGGGTGGGGGCGGTTCCCTGGAGTGGGAGTCAGGAGTGTGTGACCTCAGCAGGCTTCAGTTTCCTGTTGGTGTCTCGAGGTGGTTGGGGTCTGATGCTCTGGTTCTTCCCCAGGTGAAGGCCTTCGTCACCCAGGATATCCCTTTATAGTATCCTTTTTCTGTTCTGGGGGAGGGAGAATCTCCTTCCACTTAACTTTACAGGTAGGGATGACAAATGGCTTTCATCTGACAAGTGGAATTGATTGATAGTGACTGGCCAGAGAATTTCTGGGTGGTAGTCAAGAGAAATTGACTAGTGATGACTGCCACAGACACAGGAACAGAAAAGAGGGCCCTTTACTTCTTTGAATTCTTATTTCCTCACGTGTAAATAGGGATGTCCTACCTGGACAAAAGAGGCATTGCTGTTCACCTGCTGTTCATAGGTGGGAGATCCCACCTGCCTCAGGCCACCACTACACGCCTTAACAACTCCAGTCACAACCTGGTAATGAAACATCTTCCGGGGGCAGACCCAGAGCTCGTCCTGCTGGGCCACCGCTACGAAGAACTGGAGGTGAGGCCTTGGAAGCCGGAAGGGGCGGGGCTAAGGGCGGGGCGAGGGTCACTGACCCCACCCCTCCTCTACTTCAAGCGAATCCCACTAAGCGAAATGACCCGCGAGGAGATCAATGAGCTGGTGCAGGAGCTCGGCTTCTACCGCAAGGCAGCGCCTGACGAACCTGTTCCCGCGGAGTACCTGCGGGCTCCCGCCAGGCCTGCTGAAGGCCCTATGGCCCGCGCTGACCTTTAGGTCCAGAGATGAGGGCCCGCTCCCTCCCCCGCCTGAGCCCTGGGGACAGAATGAAGCGCTCAGCGTCCCGGGAACATCTCCCTCGCTGAGGGCCGACTCTCCGTCCTAGAGCCGGTAGAGATGGAGTTGGGGGTTCCTCCTAACCCCTCTTTCTTCCCTCCCCAGCTCAATTAAATCCTTTTTCGCCCTAACGGAGACTCGACTCCTTCATTTGCTGCAGGAGGGTAGGGAATAGGAGCCCCCCTACGACCTTCAAGAGACCCAGCATCCCCAAATGCTCGGCTGCTGGAGTGGGGATGTGTGCACACCTTGCCAAGCTGCCCTCCATTCAACCCAAGAGAGGCAGAGAGGAGTCAGGGTCGTTGAAAACCAATAATTTATCAAAACGCAGTGTGTGTGTGCGGGGTAAGGTGTCGCGACAGAAAGGGCAGCAGTGGGCAGGCGCACAGGGATGGGACGGTGCCTGGATGGTGGGGGCAGCTTGCCGCAAGCTGGCCATGCGGGCAGGGAGACTAGACATTCTTGCCGCGCAGGCGCAGTTCGTGGCGCCTCAGGTGGTTGTAGAGTGACTGCACATAGGTGAAGACGCACTTGGGGTCCGGCTTCTTGCCCATGATCATCATGTCCTCCACCTCCACCAGGGGCACGCAGTCCACCAGCATCCTGCAGGGAGGTGTCACGGGGATAGTTGTCAGCGCTGGCCCTGTTTCATGTGGCTACCCTCTATTCAGAGATCTTTTCACTGCTTGCAGCCTGTTGGTCTTCCAGATTCTTGAGTGAAGGGATAAAAGCTTTCTGGGAAGGCAGGAAGCCCCAGGGCCCACTGACCCAAGCCTAGAGGCATCACTATGGGGAACTAGGCCTGGCAGGTGGAGGTGGAGATGGGAGGAGAGCCACGCCCCATCCCACTCCCCGCAGGGTGCAGGTCTCGACCCTTAGCCCTGGGGGTTCCTGACTCCAGACCTCACCCATGTTCTCTCTAGAGGACCACCTCCTGCATACCTTCAATGGCACACTCCAGCTGGCACAAGCCTCTGGGTTGGGTCATTGGAGGGGCCTTACCAATGGCACGTCTTTCTCTGCAGCCAGGACCCACCCCAGTGATCCTCTCTCCGATGCCTGGCCTGGTACCTCCTGTAGAGAGGCCTGTGAACCCCTGTCCTTGCCCCAGGGACAACCCTGTTATAGGAGATGGAGGACTGTGTGTGTGTGTGTGTGTGTGTGTGTGTGTGTGTGTGTGTGTTCTTTAGTTCTTTAACCCTTACCACCCTCTTTGGGTAGAGCAGGGGAAGCAGATGAGGTCCCAACCAATACAGACAGGACCATCTACAACATGCTCAAGAGTGGGACCATCCATCTGTCATCCTCCAGAGTATCAGCCGTATGTTACAGATGGGGAGACTGAGTCACAGAGCAGAAATCATTTGTTTCAAGCCTATAGCTTGAACAAGGGCTTGAAGTACAAGGCTGGGCCTCTTGGGACTTAAGTGCCCCAGCTCTGGGTGTTGTCACCTGTCCAGAGCCTACTCTTCCCTACTGCAGAGTCATCTCCCCACTCTGGGGTGAATGGGCTGCACCTACTAAGCAACCGACAGCCACAGAGCTCTAAAGCTGGAGATTGCTCCCTGGCTCCATTTCCCCTCCTCTCCCAAAGCAAGACCTCTTCTGCCTTGCTCCTTCCCATAAGTCCATGTTAACTGAGTTTCCTTTGGCAGGGAAGGTATACAGGGAAGAACTGTTCCTGTGGGTAACACAAAGGGCCCAGGACTACCTCCCATCTTGTACCTTCAAGGTCAAACCTGGGACCGTGGTAGGACTGGGCCTACACCTAGCTCACCTGGACACTTTCACAGAAGCAGCTTGGGAGGCAGAAGACCTCTGTTTCAGTTCACATTGTACCCCTTACCAGCTGTGTGTACTAGATAAAGCCCTGCTCTGTGACTCAGTTTTTTCATCTTTACAGCAACAAATTCTCTGCCTCATTTGAGACCTTGAGAACACTTAGATGAGTGAGGGGGTTTCTGACTGTTGCTGATGTGTTATGTGCCCTTGGGGGTCATCTCTGCCCCAGACTGGACTTATTTCCTCAGCTATACTTTGGCAAAAAAGGCAGCCTCTCTCTGTGCAGTTTCTTCAAACTGGCTATCTCCCCTGGGCTCCCCAATGTGGAGCTCCCTCCCACCTCTGGTGTCTTCCCTGGAGACCTTATAAAGCCATTGTTTACACTGGGGCTCACAACTCAGGCCTTCAGCTGCCCCAGTGACAGGCCAAACAGAGGGCAATTCGAGCAACAGCACAGCTGAGTCACACTTTCCAACTGGATCAGGGATGGGCCCCTTTCCCTACAGGCCAGCCTGCTGGGCAGCAGCTCCTAAGTCCATATATGACCTGGAGACAGAACCAAACCCATCCTCCTCTCACCTGCACGGCTTCTCTGGGTGGACGTGTACACACGTGGGCTGCTCCCCACATGGCTCCAGGCCTTGAGGGGCATCTGAGTGCATCCCTAGCTCTGTCCCTGACTTACTGGGGAATCCCCTCCCTACTGGGCCTTTGACTTTTCTTCTCTCTGCACAATGGGTGGGAAAAGTGATGGAGTAGGGAAAAGTGCTAGTAAGTGGGGAGTCTAGAGTTCTAGTTTCTAGCCCTGTCTCTGACCTAAAACCTCCAGGACATTGACCACCTCTCTCCTGTCTCTGAGCAACTTGTCTGGAATGGACAATTAGCTCAGGACCTGAATTCCTACTGTGGTCATGAGGTAAGGTGACTAGAGAGAAAATGCCATAGCTGATTTGAAGATCCAGATCCCTAACCAGAAACATCTTCCTGTTAAACTGGCCCTGCTCCTGAGTTCTCCAGTGAGTGTGGCACTACCAATTCCCCAGTGCCCAAACTGGAGGCCTACAAGGCTTCCTTGAGCCTCCTTCTCCCCCTCCATCTGGGTCCATCAGGAAGCCTGTCCTACTTCTAAGTTGCTCCAGCTATCTAGCATATTCCTTCACTCCCCACCCCTCACCCAGGCATTGTTCTAGAAGCTAAGCAGACCACATATATCCTTTCTCTGTTTGGAACTCTTTTATGACTCTTGTTTTTAGGAGGAAGTTCAAACTCCTGTGGCCCCTTCTTTTCAAACCCAGACTAAACTTCCTTCCCTTCATACCCAGACTAAACTTCCTTCCCTTCTCCCCTTCATACTCAGACTAAACTTCCTTCCCTCCTCCCCTTCATACCCAGACTAAACTTCCTTCCCTTCCTGGGTATGCCACACACTCCATTCTCTTGTCTCCAGCCCTGTACATAGATTCATCCCTCTGCCTGGGACTCCCTCTCCCTTCTTTAGCTTGAATTTGTTATTAAGATTAGCTTGGTTTGTACTTTTTTCAGATAGCTGTCCTGACCTGCAGGCCGGGTCAGATGTCTCCTGTAGGATTCCTTCCTGGGATTCCTCAATCTCAGTCCTGCTCATGTGGGTTATCACTGCCCCATTAGAAGAATGGTCTTGCCTGCTAGGCTCCTTCTGGCTCTTCTCGGGGTCCCCTTGCTACCACCACCCACCTCCTGGTCTCTCTCTGGGCCCCTCTGAGCAGATTCCAGCATACAGTGCAGGAGGCATTTCTCACCGTGGGGCCCCTGAGCAGGGGTTAGGACTTTTTGGTTTTTACCAGCCCCTTCTGGACCAGACAGCGGTAGAACTCCTGGATGTACGTGTACACGCACTTCCAGTCAGGCTCTCGAAGCCGCACCATGTCCTCTGTGTCCAGGAGCTGCGGGCAGTCCGCATGGGTCCTGGGGAGGGTAGGGGGCCGGGAAGGGGCAGGGAGGCAGGGCCCAGGAGAGGAAAAGGGGGAAGAGGCAGAGAAGAGAAAGGGGAAAACACAGACACACACATACACATACACACAGAGACAAGAGTTCAGTTACGTTCTCAGTGCTGCAGTCTGCCGGCCCCCCCGCATGCCCCTTTCCCATGGTGGACGTGCCGCTCACTACCCATCACTAATGGTGTGCAATGCAGACAGGGGTGGGGGGCCAGACCAGTCATAGGTGCAGAGAACTCTTGGGTCAAGCGGGAACGGGGTGGGGGGCAATGGCGTTGGCACTGAGGTTGGAGAGGAGGGCTGTGCCCCAGGGAGGGGGGGTGAGGGAGGCGTGAGAAGAGGTGGGGGAGAAGAAGAGGAAGAAATCTGGGGGAAACAGAAAGAGAAAAGGAGAGAAAGAAAGACAGATGGAGGGTGCTGAGGGTGAGGTGAGCAGACGGGGCAACGATTCCAAAGTGGAGGGCTTGCTGATGTCCTATATAAGCCTCTGGCAACACCTATATAGGCTGGATGGGCACGGTGCCCAGGCCAGGAGCCTCCTTTTGGAATCTCCAGCCGGGATCCCGTGGGAGCAGGAAGCTCTGGTGATAGTGGGAGGAGAGCAGGACAGAGAAAGGGAGAGAGAGAGGGAGGAGGGGGCAGAGGGAGGATGGAGGGGACATGGACAGGGCCACCTGGTGGGCCTTGGCTGGGGCTGGTAGGCGGGCCGGCGGCTCCTTCGTTCCGGCGGGCACCTGGCACACTCAGCAGCGGGTGGGCGGGGTGGAGAGGACAGGGGCTTTCTGGGGAAGGGGGTCTCAGCCGCTGTCTGACAGTGCGGCTGGCCAGCTCCAAGGGGTCTTGGGGCAGCTGGGCCTGGCCTAGATGCTCAGCCACAGATGCCCAGCTGACACCAGCAGGGCTGGGGCCCACACTTACTCAGCAGATGAGAAGGCCACCTCAAAGTTCTGACGCCGGTTCTGTGGGCTGAGCTGCCCATAGTCGAATGCCTCAGGGAAGAAGTTGTGCACCAGGGCACAGAAGGCCATCCCGTCACTCCAACTTGAGGAGAAGTTCTGGATGTCCACATGCTATGTATGGGTGGTGGGAGGACTGGTCAGCTTCCCTATGACTTCTCTGCCCCCAGCATTTGACATTCCAGACATAGGGCAACTGGGGTCAGAAAGGGCCTGTAGCTTGTCCAAAGCTTCAGAGCGGATGGACAGTGGGAACACGAGCATCCTTTAATTCAGTTTGTCAGCTCCCTTCTCTACTACTAATAGGCACAGAGCAACCAGGAGGCCCACACCACCCAGCTAAGACCATGCTTATGCCTCCTTCACTCCTTTCCTTACTTACATTAATTTACCAAGTCCCCTGACCCCCACCCCCAGCAAG